GGGGGGGGGTAGGCGGCGAAATGTCTAAAGCTTGTAATCCCAGCCTAATTGCTCACCATGGTTCTCGCAGTCTTTCGCTCAACATATTGGTCGTACATGGTATTAGAATTCCACCGTCGTATGTGTGCGAGAGGTACTCTTTGTATGTTGCCGTATAAAGGTATGTTGTTCGTATGCCGTAGTATGTCAGATAACGCATAGCTCCTCCTAGAGAAGATTTCGCGCCATGTGGCAACGCCCATTGCTTCTAGTTGTTTGAACGCCTGCAGTGTTATGAGCATCTCGCATCATTGTTATTTCTCGATCGGTTTCTCGAACTCCAGCGTTGCGCACGTACTTTGAGGTCGTGCTTACTAGTGATGAATGATAGGAGGAAATGTTCGACCGGCGGATTGGAACAGCCAGCGGCGTTCTGCGTGAACTAACCCGAACCGACGTGACTAAGTCAGGGCTGAGTCTGATGACTAAATTCTCGGTGTTCAAGTCGATCTTCATCCCCATGCTTACCTACGGTCATTAGTCATGGACCATGACTGAAAAATTTAGATTCCATGCACAAGCGGCTGAAATGAGCTTTCTGAGACTAATCGTTATCCTCACGCGTCTCGACATTGTCCGGAGTACAGAAGGCCGCGAAAGCCTTAATGTGCAACCGCGCTGCTTCTTCAGGTTGATAAGTCACAGATGCGATGATTTGTGTACGTGTTGCGAGTGCTTTTTTCAGAAAGAATGGAAGGCGAAGCAGCTACAAACCGACCGACCGACAAAAACGGGAACGGTGGAGAACAACCAGGGGCAGGTGTATTGAAGTACTGTGCTGCAGAACTCTGGACTCAAGTTATCTTTTGCTGAAGCTCAAACGTTGGCACAGGATCGGGAACATTCGAGACACCGTCTGACGCATCTGTCTCCGCTACCCAAAAGAATAGGCGGTCTTTGAAACTTACTGACCGTTGATTAATTTTCCGTTCCTCTCACGATGTTTTGGGAGTTGCTATTCTTCATATGCTTCTTGATGGAAGTGAAAAATAAGTGCTCATATACCAGAGCTGGTTAACAGGTGATTGAATTCTTCAAGAACAGATTTCGTAGCATATGTACGAGCTGTTGAAACGTATCGAGCAAAGAATTTATTTAGTGCATAAAATTGTGCGAGATCCACCTTGTACTGCGTATATCCCAATACTGTAGGGCGGTAGATAACTGCTTAAATTATCTCATGGCTTGTATGAGCAAGAGAGCGGTGCTATGCGGCATGAAATCTTTTCTTCAGTTGTCCTTCGCCTGTTGACGCACATCGACGTATGTACTGATATTTTGAAACTTTGCTTAGTTTTAAGTTTAAAACTTAACCTTAACAATCCACTTTAGATCATAATCGACGGTCTGAGTGAATTTCGCGAATTCATTTGCAGATTGTCATCTCTGACGAATGCACGTATTTAAAGTCTGGGCGAAATTAATATAATAACATCTAATGTTCAGGACGAATGCCGTTAAATTCAAAGGTTTACTTTTCCTGGGGATATGGCATGTGATTGAATGAATCTTGTGACTGGTCATGAACCAAGTCAAGTTAAGCTTAAAATATGATTTTTCGTCAGATTAAGCCGTCTACATTCTTGCTGTAAATGATCTAGTTTGAGCGGTAAACTTTCATATTTCAAAATTAGTAAAATGGCAGTGATTTTTATGTTAAATGGTCAGTATCCAGAACAACCTTAACATTTTCCTGTGCTGATGATTTTCTTATGTGATTTATTGTTGGTTAGTCACTACATTTTGTCTGCTCAAAAACCGACACGTCAGTTTTTCTCCTTTTCTTCCATTTATTTTCTGCTGGAATTTTTTAGCAAGTGTTTTCTCAGTGTGTTGTCGTTGTTTCTTCATTAGAGACCATAGTCGTTGTGTAATAGTTCTCTCTCATTGCGAGCTTCCGTTTTATCTACTGGCAAACGTAACCGATTGTCCTTCGTTAGAAATCTTTCGCTTCGCGATGGCGTTAATGTTAAGAAGGCGGTACAGCAACGATGCTGATACGTACATGGTTAGGATTCGAGTTTACCAAGAGGCGACCATTTTGATTGGAGCGAATCTGAATCAACACCATGACGAGTATGTTCCAACTGATGATTAAACGTCGGTCCAATGCCGGTTTAAACAACCAACCGGATGAACCGGATTAAACCTGGGGCGGCGGTGGCAGCAGCAGGATAGCATCATCGTCGCCCGTCACTCGCTGTGTCATGCATACCGGATGCACGCAAAGTGTCCTCCCAGCTATGAAATGTGTGCACTCTGGTGGATGTCACATGAATGACGTATGCATTTCTGAAGTTTTCATAAGTTTGCGTGCTGCTGGCCAATTGGTTGTTCGTTGTTGATCTTTCGTTTTTATTTCTCGCCTATCAGTGAACAACTGTTGGTTTGAAAGTTACGTTTCCCGGGCGATGGCGCTTAGAATTGAGGGTGCAGTAGGAGTATTGATGCTCGATGATCGGTGGCTGTTCGTTTGCTCCACTCGACACCTATCATGTTATTCATTGTCGTCGTGCGTGTTCCTTTGCTTCACTAATCGTTTTCGGCCGAACGAGCAACTTCCAACTGGTCAGTTTGCAACAGTCAGTGGTCGACGGCCGAAACCGGAGCTGAAGGAACGAACAAGTTTCTAAACCTCACCCGGCTGCTGCTGGTGATGCCTCGTTGTACACATGGTTGTGAACGACTGGCAGTTCGTCGCGTACCGGTTAAACTTGGAAACCGGCGGATGGCTTTAGTCATATGGTGGCGAGTTACCGGTCGTAACGAATCAAAGGCTGTTCGATCTCACGACAGACTTCCGATAATCCTTGCGATATTTTCACCCGAAACCCGTTTAGGGATTGTTTCTGTCGCTGAGTCCCTTTTCGCCGAACTGGCGTTACTCATTTGCATTCTTCTGTAACGGACCAGAGGTGATTTTAGGCAAATTGTAATTAATATTTTATTAACAATATTACAGTGCAAGCGTCTGAACTGAGGACTCTGATAATCATGGTTGAGATGCATTTAGCTGGAACTAGTTAAATTTGACTTTTGACTGAGTGCAGTGCATCATGGTTAGACTCAGTGGGAGCGATGAACGTTTAACGTTCTTCTAAGTACTCGTTTTAGCGAGGTGAACACCTAAAAGCCCTGCTCGGCATGCGGATTAGCGGAGAGGTTGCAGTACCCGAGAATCGTCTTTACCAGCGAGGGACGTTTGGAAACAGGGATCGACCAGCAGATAAGTCTAGTTAACGAGGTTTTCTCTGTGCATTCTGCAGTCATCATGACTAAAGTCGTACTAGATTTAAGCTTACCGATTCATTCCATCTAATTTCCTGTGCTCACCTGTAGTCGTGAATCATTGATAATGAAAAAACCCGGGGACAAGCGGCCGAAACGGGCTTCCTGCGGAGATAGTCGTAGGACGTGCGCATATTGACAGAGTTGGTTAGTCGGCTATCCGGGAAACCCGTGGAACCGAGTTGTTACTTCACAAGATTGAGAAATAACAACTGCAGTGGCCACTGAAGCGAACGACCAAGCAGATATTCTTTGCTGACTGGTGGGTAAACACCTCGAAGAAGGCCCAGAATGACTTGGAGCAAGTCGGCCAGTGGACTTTGCCCAAGCTTCAAGATGTTTCCTACCGACGCTCAGGCACTAACACGGCAAACATTGGCAACACTTCGTAATGCTGCTGCCACGCAGCTCAAAAGGACAAGCAGCTTAAGACAGAACGCTGGCGGCTTAAGTGGTAACCGACTTTCCAGAAGTGAAGTTTATCTGAGTTGTGAATGAAACTGTAGTGCTAACAGTTGCTCGAACTTAAATATTTGGAATGGAATGGTTGCGGTATTCAAAAATTGCCCTCCGACCGTGATATTGATGATGCCTTCTATTTGCTGTTGATCGATGTCGCTCCAGTTTTGCCAGCGGGACTCGTAATTCTTTCATATAGCAAACTGAATGATTCTACGAATTAGATCGTGATCACCTCTGTTCTCGACTGAGATAAGACGGATGAACTGACAAGACGGATGTGCGTGTGTGTATGTTTGGGTGGGGGCATAATTGCTCGGTGACATGACTTGAGCGCAATGCGGCAGTAGCATTTGAATCGCGTTTTGTTCTTCATGGTTACCGTAACAGGTTTTTTGAGAGGCTTATCCTTGCGGGTGAGGCTTTGTCACCTATCTTCGAGGGCGTAAAAACGGTCTGCAGCTTCCTAGCATGACTCGCGGCGACGATCAAAAAGACGGCTTGTTTGCTCTCGTCCAGTATTCTGACCTTCTTATAAATCAACACTACTTTCTCTATTATTCTGTTGCCGTTGAATGCCGAGCATTAAAATTTTTGCCTATGTTACCGTTGCAGAGAGCACGTGCTTCCAGGTTAGTTAATCCTTTGTTGACTGCCTTAAAAATCCTTTCCCCATTGTTACCTGTCTTACGAAAGTCTCTTCCTTTGTAACTTCGAGAGGCATGTGTCTCGTTTTTTTGGCGCAGCTAATTCACGAGCGTAGCCGTCAAGAATGGCGGAAATGCATATTAAGCGGAGAAATGTTTGTCAGCAATTTAACCCTTCTTATTGTTGTTTGTTTTCTTTCAGTGATTGCAATCGTTTTGCTGATGGGAATCGCGCCGATGGGGACCGTATTCGCGCTAATGGTTAGCGTTTTTGTCGGTGTGGCTTGGGGCGGGTCGTACAGCAAGAGTTTGTTTCCTGATGCCGGTTATGTAATCAACTTGAACAACGCGACGTTTCGGTCGGTGGTGCTTGATCAGAAGCAGGCGTACCTGGTATTGTTCTATTCAAGCTGGTGCGGTGGTTGCCAACGGTTCAGCCCTGAGTGGTCGCGTCTTGCCGAGAACCTCGCAGGTGCGTAAAGTTGTAAAGTATGGCGCAACAGCGAGTGAATTGCGCAACGGTATATGCTTAGCGACGATCTTCGTTCGCCGACTTTTGCACACACTGTTGCTTTCACGATTTCAGCGCTACAACACGTGGTGAAGGTGGGCGCCGTCAACTGTGCCCTCAGCGACAACTTTGGCCTGTCGATCGACAACGGCATTGAGTACTACCCATCGGTGAAGGTATTTAATTTCTGTCGTTGCCGATGATGCCGCATTTGCGAACGCTTGTTTCAGTACTTTCCGTATAAATGCCGCAAGTTGTCTGATGCTGTTACCTTGAACATCTCTGACTTGTACCCGAACATCATCGACAACCTGGCCAAAGATTGGAGACGGTACCATCCTGTCGGTTGGCCTGATCTTTTCTTCGTCGGCGAGTACGTGACAGCACTCATTCGCTTTGTCAAATTTTGTGCCATCGTCGAGGTCGTTGAACTGCACCGTCTTTTGTTCCTTCAGTCGTTCGTTTGATAACATTTGCGTTTTCTACCGATTCAGCTTTTCAAGCTAACAACAATGGCAAGAACAACCGGTTTGAACGTGTGCGTGACAGGCGATTGTGGTTGACCGTTCTGTCGGTGTTCCATCTACGAGCTGCGAAAGGAATTCGCTATAATGAACCCAGGCCACGTTCGTTAGAGAACGTGCGGGCCTTTTATCGAAATCGTGCATTAGTTTCAACCGCTGTACTCCTTTTTGCCCTCTTAGTGACACCCTCGTCGTATGTCCCATTGGGCTTGCGGCTGA